CTCTCTCTCTCTCTCTCTCTCTCTCTCTCTCTCTCTCTCTCTCTCTCTCTCTCTCTCTCTCTCTCTCTCTCTCTCTCTCTCTGTATCGTAATCGTAATCGATCAACGTAAAGCGTTTCAATTCGATCTAATAAACCGATTCGAAGATAAAAATTCGAAATCACTTTCTCAGGTAATATATAACGTCATTGGTGAATTCTCGTTCGAAGAATCGTTTTCTAGGCCACGCTCAAACCGTCGTCGTCCAAATATCGTCCTGGCATGCATAAATATCGAGTTTCAATACGAGTACGGTTACGATTCATTGAATAAAAAAAGTCCTTGGCTAATTTCGGAAGTCGCGCTCACTTGATTAGCATAAAGATTGATTTCGCTTGATTTTTCGTGTCCTAGAATAGATTCGATGGTGCGTAATAATGAGGAACTTGAGATATTTTTAACATTTCTTAACATGAAAAATACTTACGTGAAGATATTTTTTTTTCCAATAAATTCGTGAAAATCGTTTATCAGAATAATTTATTGTATTCTTATTCTTCGAATTGAAGAATATTTATCCGAAAATTGCTACAATACCATTTCCGTCCTCCTTTGAAGATTTCTTCTTAATCAAAATAGATTCGATAGAAACGTAGCTTTACATTATTCATACAACGTCTCGGATCTAATAAAACTTTCTTCTAACTTTATTCTTTTCATATTTTTATACGAGCCTTTCTCGACGAACGAATACACACGCGAATATTCGTTTCACGAGTTAAAATTGACAAAATTGAATATTTTCGTCGCATAATACATCTAACCTTGATATAAATAATATATTTTCTTCGATCAAATTTTCTTCCGTATCGGTGGATGCGCGTGCGTAAACTCACTCGATCAATGTGTGGATACAACACGGAAATCTCACGGTACAACCAAACTTTTTCAAGGTATTCACCATGCGTTTTCCAACATTCTCTTCTTCTCTCTTCGAGATAATTTTTAAAAAGATCTTTTTTACTTACCGCTAAATACTCTCCATCGATTAAAAGAGTTATTTCATGTTTACATAGTTAACCTTAAAAAAGCACCAATCTCTTCGACAATTCACCAAATTCTACAATCCCAAATTTTTCTTCTTTTCGAGTGATGATTAGGCACGCACCATTCGTAATCAGAATCAATTAATCAACGAACAAAGTGGATCCATCGATCCACTCGTGGCAGAAGAAAAGAGATTGATTTCTTTCTGTGTGACTAAGTCATTTGTAAAAGAAAAAAAAAAAAAGAAAAAAGAAAAAATTCTCAACGTGGTTTTCCTTTCTTTCGTATCTCACACTTAAGCTGATGGAAGTTTCAGCTTGGTTAAGAATGGTTTGCTCGAGTTTTAGGAGTTGGGGGACGAAGGGCTGTCCGCGCTCAATGCTCCGATAAGTTTTTTCAGGGAAAGTTTCCCGATGGAACCGTGAGCTGAAAGATATTTCTTTTAACACGTTTCTCGTATCGTGTTAAAAGACGAAAAATATCCTTTTGGCAAGAGGTATCATTCACAGATTTTATTCAGATACAAATAGAAAAATAAATTTTTATCACAAGTATTAAAGTTGATCTACAATTCGATATTGCATAAAAAAAAAAAAGAAAAGAAATAACGTAAAATAAAAAGGATAATTTGTCTTACAGCTAAATAAATAAGAATCGGTGGCAAAAATTGTATTCAACATTGTCTATTTCTCACCGATTGTAATTTCTTGTTGGAGAGACCAAGAGGAGACGAAACGCGAGACGACCGAGATAAACATGGGAGAAAAACAAGAGAAACGAGGAGGAGGGGGGCGAGGAGGCGTGTTATTTGGCGGCGGAAGGGAGGAATTTTCATCGTTATTCCAGTCCTCGTCCTTTCGCTATTTGTCATCATAGTTTTATCTCGGTCTTTACTGCCCCCTCCTGCCTTGTGCCGTGTCGTTTCGCAAATAATGCAGCCCTCTCCCCTTTTTTTTACGAGTTCGCAGTAAAAATATACGATTCTCCGTTGTCGATCGATCTTCGCAGGGCGTGCACAGGACGACGGTTACAATAACCGTCTGTCGAGAAATAAATGGAATGAATTTAAAAATAATAAGAGGATAATATTAATTTAGGATATTTAAATGGAACAATTTCTCTTTCTGTATCAAAGAATTCTGGCAACGTGTGGATGACAGAAAGTGTTTAATGTAATTAAATAATTATTATATCGTTAAATATATGGAAACGAAGATCGATATGAATTTAAGAAGAATTTTTTTAAAAGTTCACTACTCGCCCTTTAATATTAGATCTCCGCTTTATCCAACCGATTGTGAAGAGAATTTATCGTGTTTGGCTTAGTCGACTATAATTTAAATTTAGTATCGGCTGATTTATGAATCTGGAGGAAATAAACGGAGTTTGTGGCTCGAGAAAGCGTGTACGGGTCGAATGATTAAAAAGGCAGTTGAGGAAAATTAATGTATCGTTTTGCCGCGCATTAAAGAAGGCAGATCGGAAGGGAAAAAGTGTTATCGAATAAATTTCTTAACTCGATTTATTTCATTCGTACGAATAGGATTTTTTGCTTCTCCAATTAAAAATATTCCTCCTGAAAACCAATTCTCCACCAACGATGAAAACCATCCATCTCCTATTTATGATCGTGTCTCGCGAACACGCAGAAAAACTTTGGCCACGGTATAAAAGCTTCTGTACGAATGACGGTGCGGTCAGTCGTATCCGCGTAACTTCTCCAACGTTATCTAATCGATTCTCCGACCAAATGTTTCATTAAATCTCGATTATTTTTTCTCTTCTTTTTTCTTATTAAAAAATATCTCGGGCAAAATTTGAACAGTTTCGATTCAATTATGCCGTATATATAATTATTTTCTTCATAAGTAACGACACGAAAAAGATCAACTTTCCTTCTTTAAATAGAATAACGTACGTTATTAATTCCTTCTTTTTTCCACACGATCGAAGAAAACAGGCTTTGCTCGCGGATCGATCAATCCCTCGATATTCTTGTCACGATCCCCGCCTGGCATCCCAACCACTTTATTACCGTCAGAGAAAGTTTTAACCGGAAATCTTGAATAAATAAACGTTGAACGGAACTTCATCCTCGTTCCCTTATTAAATTCTCAATCGCTTTATCCCTTCGTTGCCATAAATGATTCTATATATCGTATTCGTGCTATATTAAAAATTACAGTAACTCGATCGTACGTGGAGAATTCGTAACGAAGATAAGTGCGATCGAAATGACTGAACGTTTTTATCGCTTCGCAGCCATAAATGACTGCTACTATTATGCGCTACGTTCAAAAACAAGCGATTCGATACGAATATGGAGAATTCGTTGTGCAGTAAAGGTGAGTAATTATGAAATAAGTACTTTACTTAAATAAATAAACACTCGTTGCGGCAAAGGACTCGTTCATTGCCTGGCCGCTCCAGTCGGGGCAGTTGAACGTGAATCGACGCCATGGAAACGAATCTTGCGCAACGTTCCGGGTCAACAGCTCGCTTCGCCTAAAATTGGACCTGAAGATGATGACTCGTCTCCTCGATGAGGGATGGCTGTGAGAACTCGCTAATTGGTCGGGCTCTAAGGGATCATAATTGGCGCTAATTTTTTCGAGGTGTAATGTCATTTCATTTTATTGGAAAGATTTGTAAGATTTATCGATCTGTGCGTATAACGTTATTGACAATGATGAAAAATGATGATGTTGAATTATTGGCAGGTATTTGTTTATTTTTATATTGGATAGTCGGTATATCTATTTTTTTTTGCACACAAGTGCAATAAAATAGCGTCGAGACAAATTCAATGACCTGCTATGACTCGGAACAACAGGAAGTTGTAAATTGGCCAAGTCTTCAAATGTCAGGTTGAATAGTGAATTATATCCACTGTAGGATATTATTCTATCTACACGAAACGCGAAATATTTCGGTTAAAATTTTTCCTCATTTATTTACTACTTCGATACAAACTCGTGACTTTGAATAAATGATATTCATTTGCAGTTCGAATGTAATGGAACGTAATGAACGAGACAAAAAAGTTCAAAAATATTTAGTAAAAAAAAAAAAAAAAAAGTCAAAAAACATTAATTAAATAAAAATTTTCCACCAACGAATTACATCGAGATTAAAATTTTTTTAAGCCAAGTCGAAAAAAAAGCACGTTTGAGATAAAAATAATTTGGAAAAATATAAATAAACGTGGAAAAAATAATCTTGGGAAAAAATCATTGGTCCGATCGAACAAGAAAGATCGTGATGGAGAACACGCGTCTTGAACGCAGCGGAGTGTGACCTGAGAGAAAAGTGATGTATCCGGTACAGATGTGACACGAATATTTCCGGATTACCGGCTCTCGATCGTCCAAGAACCGCCCCGTTCAGATTCTTTTTCGTGGATCGATCCCTTCTTCTTCTTCTTCTTCTTCCCGCGATCTATTTCACCGTCGACGAAATGTTTCTCGATTCGCTTCAGATCGAAAAACGGAACGAAAATTAATTCGGATATTTTTCCCATCCACGTGTTACGGCGATTTCTTTTCTTCTTCCTATTTTTATTTCCGTTCGTTTTATTCAATCTTTTTTCGTTCACGATGGAATCTCGATGGATAACACAAACCGACGTACGTACGTACGTTCTGACCTATATCGCGACTCGTCACCAAGATGGAATCTGGCGCGGATCGCTCGATTTCACGAAAATCACTCTCTCATGCACGTTTCCATCGTTCATTGACGCATTAAGAGCATTAATTTATTAAGGGGATAATTTGTATTAAGATCGGAGAAGAAATAATTACGTTTCACGAGGGTCCGAGAAATTTTGAGGTTAACTTTCGTCGCGCGATAAAATTTCATATATTTACGCTTGTTAACAAATTAAGAGGGATGGGACGTATTAAATTTTATGCCACTCGACATTGAAATTTTTCGAATTTTATTATATGGGCCAATTACTGTTCGTGTATTGCTACGTGATAATTAATACAACGACGAGTATCGACTGTAGATACACGTGAACTTCGACTAACGAGGAACGGAATACTATCGAACCGCCATGCGATCGATAGTTGCTGTACTGTCGAACGATTCTCGATATGGATTGTTAATTATTCATTCTAAATTCGAAAATTAAGAAATAATTTTGAGAATAATTTTTAATTCATTTCTATTTCTTACAGAATTACTTCTAAAAAAAGGATTATTTTTTTTAAATTATTTAATTAAAAATAGATTAAAATCGATACTCATGAATCTTGAGATATGCATTTATCGAAAAGATAAAAAAAAAAAAACATGTTTTCAACATGTTAAATTAATAAAATTGATATGAAATAATAATTTCGAAATATACTTTTCCCGTAAAGATAAATGGGTCGAATTTGGCAACAGTCGGTAAGATTGCTTTCACAATAACGTCATGAACACGCGATACACGTCACAGACGTGACCAGCGTGATTAATAGTTCTCCACGTTCCTTTCAGATGTTTACGCTCGTCTATCGAGCATCAGGCCATAATAATAATATCTGCTGATACTATGAGAACGAGAATTTTATGTGAATGAATTTTTAGTATTGGAGACACCGACACCGAATGATAGCTAACCTACGATAGCACTTATATACAAAAAAAAAAAAAAATTAATATATTAATATCATTCTTTAATTAATTTTCTCTACTCAGTTTTATCGATTATTAAATATTTTCTTGTCTCCTTCGAAACGAAAAAAAAAAAAAAGAATATAAAAAAGAACAAGAAGCGAAAATAAGGAAAGAAAAAAAGAATACGAATACGGTATAATTAGAAGAAACAACTCTACTGAATGAGAATAATTAACGGAGCAAATGATCGAAACAGGTTCGTCGAAAGGATGAATGAAAAAAATCTCGACTCGAACATGCTGCTTCTCCAACGAGACAATTTTCTATAAATATTTCGCGCCGATGAAACCACGTGCAATGACAAGAGACGTAGAAAGAGACTCGACTTTCGAACGAGCGAGATTAATCGAGATATCGTAACTGCACATCGAGATATCGATCGTCGAAAGGGTCGATGTAGAAACGTCTCTTAGATAATAAATGGAGCAACTGTTGATCGCGAAACAAAGTTTTTTGTTGTTGTCATATTATTTCCGTAATAAAATTTGTGAAATCAATTTATAACGAGATTTGAGAAACATTTATACACATATATTCACACACAATTATAATATTTTATTCTTTCTTTTAATCCAATAATATAAATTTACGTAGTTATATGACAGCTACGTAAGAAGATAGATCGTTTCCTTGTTGATTTACCGAGTGGAGAGAAATCGATAATTCCCGATAATTTCTAGGATTCGATTTCTTAGATAGAGAAGTGTGAATTAATCTCGACGACCCCCGTCGATTAATCAGCCGTATTCCATAAACGAACGAAGATAAATTACTACGCTTTTCAAGTGTCTTCTTCTCTTTGCCCTTATGTCATCCTCCATTTTTCTGTTCTCTCTTGCGATCGATATTCGTGGTGAAAATGAAATATCACGATAAGAGAGAAGAGATTGAAAAAAAAGAAGGGAGAAGGAAGAGAGGTAGAGAAGGAAACAAAAGAATGGAGGAGATTCTAATGAAAAAAAATCGCGATAAAAAAAGTAAAAGAGAAAAAGAAAAAAGATAAAGATCATTGTAATCATGCAAAAATATCACAAAATATTTAGCAAATATTTAGATCCTCGTAAAGATTGCTCACGAATATCGTTAATAATATAAAAATATAATTTAGAAATATCTTACACATCTATAATATATAATTTCTCATTGATTCTTCTCATTTCTTCCTTGATCTTAAACCATGCTCTATAAAGTATCGGCTGTCTTTGAGTAAAGAAGGATCAACCGCTTAGCTATGTAGGTCGACAAACGTCAATCGTATTTACTTGTACGGATTATACCTTCATACCTTTTGCCTTTAAGAGATGTTCTCCATATCTCTAATACCTCGTTCCTGTTTTCTCAGAAACATTCATTATTGTACCGTGCAATTTCATTTTTACGACGTTCCTTCGGCACGATGTTTATAATGCTCGGTGCTGCCGATTTTTCTTCTTCTTTTATTTCTCCACTTTCTTAGAGAGACTTTTATGGCTAGGCCACGCTTTCGTGGATACGTTATGAACATATATTTATTCTTGGATATAGTAATTGGCGATAAAATTCAAAATATAATATTTAAATATGAAATATTCAATATCGATTTAGTAATATTATAATTTGTTAAAATTTAAATCGATGAGATAACATATATTAATGTTATTTCTTTTTTAACCATCGTATAATTTGAATTATTTCGTAGCCAGACACAACGTGTTAACCTAACCTTTCGCGAGACTGATGAAAAGCATACATTAACTTAAAATCAACTATTTGATCTGAAAATTTTTGCGAATTTTATAATAAAAAATTTGTGATGACTTTCTATGAAATCAACATTATGAAGCATTATTTTCTACATTTTTTTTTGTAATTTTTGACATTCGAATTTTATTCAAAATTTTGGCGACATCTCAAAATTGATTTCAATTTTAATTCATGCAAATAAATTTTTCTTAAATATTTCTACATTCTTCGTTGTTAAATATAATCTAAAAAAAAATACTACTCTGGTAATTGTTTACAAAAGATTTCGAATAAATAGATTTGATAATGAGAGTAATTATAATAGAGAAGCAATAACGATTGATTAGAAAAAGATGAAATGAAAATAAATTCGCATATAGTATGCAGTGCTGCAAGTCAAACGGACAGACATATCTAAGTGTACACGAGGAAAATACGACCAACTTGTCCCGAAGGATACTTTCGGATGGAATTCAGGCCAGAAAAAAGTTCCAATTACTCGTTCGTTTTTCCTCCGCCTTCTACGCACGAACATACTGTAAATGTCATTTTTTTTTTTCATTCTTTCACTTTTGATCGTTCCGTAGGTGCGATCAAAAAAGTAAAATAAATATTAATCGTAACAATAATAGTAACATTTCTATTTAAAGCATAGTGTATAAATGAAAAAGAAAAATTAATAATGTCATAATAGCAAATTGTTGTTTTGAAACTTGATATTATTTGCGTGAGGCTTAAAATAAAAGGGGTCATTTTAAAAAGAGAAACAAGTTGGAAAGACATGTTTTAATTTTGACAGATAGTTTTCACATTTGAATAATTGGCGCTTCTTGACAGATCACGTGGTAATTGTTTTATGTATTCAAATTATATTCTAATGTCTGATGATAAATAGTTATACAATAATACATTTCGTGAAATACATATGAATATAAAATTTAAAGAAATTTTAAATCGCCATATGAATCATTTAAAATGTTAACGTCTCAAGGTTTCTGGTGTCTCATCCGATATCAAACCTTTCAAACTCTCAAGGCAAAAGTTCGAAGGACCTCCGTGCGACCGTAGTGCTCGAAAAGCCGCGCGCGCAAAAGAAACACAACAAAAAAGGAAATAAAACACGAGAAACACGATCTCGAGTATATCAATAGAATTTAATTCATTTTGAAGCATTTTGTCAAAATATTATAATATAATAAATGAAAAGAAATGTATATATGTATGTTTTATACTCACAGTTTCGTAAGATTGACGATGGATGGAAGTGTAGTGATATCGAGAGGCTCCAAGATGGACAAAAAACCAGCTCCGCGGCAAGAAATCTCCTTTCCGTCGGCAGTAATATTGCAAGATTCTAGGAGACCGGGTCCATTGAAGGAACCCGGCTGTTCCTCGGCGGAGCAAATCCGGCAGAGGAACATCGCCAAAATGACAGTACCGCGGCAGAACTGTGTGCACATGCCGGTCAGCTTATTAGGCTTCTCTTCCTTCCTTCTGCCGGAGTCGCCGCGCCCAGGAAACGTTTCACTTCACCACATTATACTTATATCAGATACACATCAGGATCCTGGATCCCTTGACAAACGAAAAGATGAACACATATAGAGATGGCATATAGAAAGGAACGCGTGGCCTGTTAAGGAGCTTATAAGCTCACGAAACGAACAACGCACGCGCTCACTTTCCCTTTAACGCGGTTTCGACAACAGACGTATACAATACGACATACGTTTACCAACTGACAGCGTAACTATATGTGCAATAGCAGTAACTGCACCAATTCCCCCTCTTTCACTGAGCTTCATCCCTACTATTGCCATATTCATTGCTTTGAACCAATCAACTTTCTCCGTAAAAACACCACTACCGATGCACTTCTAGTATAATATACTTGCGATTCGCAATAATTGTGTATCGATGATATATACCGTATATAGAGATCTATATTTTCAATCAATTTTATGATTTTTATTTTATTTTTTAAGATGATATTTATAGCACGATGATTGAATGATATTTTTTTAATTGGATATTAACTTTGATACAAAAAAAAAAAAAATGAAGACTCATATGTTTATTTTTGAGAGATTAATTGATTTTGAATTTGAAAATTGTTAAAAATATACATTGAAGAATATTGTAATATTTATAAAAACATATTTCACATATTCTTTTTTTTTTGTTTATTATAAAATAAAAGATTTGAAATTAATTTCGAAATTAAAACTAAATAATACAAAAAACTTATTATCGAAAAATAAAATATGATATACAAATATGTGCAAACAATATAATAATGAGTTTTAAATAACACATATGATACTAATTATAAAATGATTATGGATACAATAATATTTTTTTTAATAATTTTTGTTTATATTTCGTATTTTATTTTATTAATTTTCTATAATCTAATAATTTATTTTTTGTTCTTTAATTGTTTATTTAAGATTTATAAAAAATGTATATTGTATGCTCTTTGCATGTTATATATCAAAACACAAAATGTATCAGTCGATAATTTCAATTAAATTTCTTTCATTTACAATTTCTAAAAGATTTATAATAATCAATAATAGACATAGATATATATATATATTATTTTTTTTTTTAACACAGATATTAACTTTCATAATTTTTTAACTAATCCAATACTATTATTTGATAATGGGAAGCATATGGATAACAGCTAAGAAAAATATATAACTGATTATATATAAAAAAATAACTTAATATACGTATGACTTTTTAAGATAATGAATACATTTCAATTTATTTTTAAGATTACGTAATAGCGAAAATGTCAAAATGTGAATAAGAAAAAAATTATAATATCTATGTATTTCATTTACAAATAGAATTATTTATACAAAATACGCAGCTAATTGTGCCATTTTATCTTTTGGAGGACGAGGTTTACCTCGGCTGCGACCTTTTGCGTGGCCACGGCTACGAGTTGTAACCGGTTTCGAAGCGACTGCACGATGCTTTTCCACAAGAGCCATGAAAGCTGGAGTACAAAAGACGCAACCAGTCATTTCCGTACTTTCATTAGGTAACTTACTTTTTTCCTGCAATTAAAGAAAAACGGAAGTTTTATAATATTCTTTGAACATAAATAATTTTTTTAATTACCTGTTTATATTCTACAGTAACTAATTGAGCTCCACACTCGCACACTTCTGTATCGACTGTCACTTTATGAGCATTTTCGAATAAATGAATAATAACGTCACAACGATTACACCCAAGTTTCCATTTAGGTGCAGCTGAAGGATCAAGGACGAGTATACCAGCATTACATTCCAGACAACTTGATATGCCATTAGAATTCATGCCATGTGGACAAGTCGGATGTGTGCAAGAATTGCAACCACTTATTCCCTTTTTCATATCTCTAAAATTCATAATGTTTTTTTTATAATTAAGATTTTCATAATTTAAAATTGAATATATTCATATGATCAGAATTACCTGAATGGAGGATTATTGTAACAATATGGACAGAATGTGAAACTTTTTCCTCGTGTTCCAGTAGACCATGAGAGTAATTCGAAATCATCTAATGGACATTTCAATTCCTTATAAATTCGAATGTTTCCATTCTGTGGAAGATTATACGTTTCATTACAGTGTGCGCAATGCATTCTAGATGGCTTTGTTTGTATATATTTCATGTAGCGTCGACATTTTCCACATCTATATAAAAAAATATTATCAATAAAAGAAAAAATTATCTTATAATTATAAAAATATATATTAATAATAATATATATTAATAAAATATTTATAAATATTTAAGATAAATTGTTATATATATTTAATTATATACCTAGAATGTGCTTTTCCCGACGCAGAAAGAGGAGAAAAGGAAACTTCAAATAATTGATCCATTGCTTCTATATTTTTTACAAAATAATGAAATTTTTGTTTGAAAATTTCAACTGTGTGTTGTAACACAGCATGAAAATCTGCTCGACCTAGAGCTATTAAATTTAATTGTTCTTCTACTGCAGATCTCATTGTAGGTAGAACTAACTCTGGATCTATCTAATATTAATAGAAAATTATCACATGAAATAAATGTTTTTTATATATGTAAAAACAATATGTACCTTTTGATATCCATGAACTAACACAATTCCTAAAGAAGTAGGAACTAATTTTCTACCAGTTGCTACATTAACATAATTTCGCATACATATATTATTTATGTGTACTGGAATAGAAGCATCAGTTCCAATACCATGTTTTTCCATAAGAGATATTAATTCAGATTCTGTCAAATAATCTGGAGGCTGTGTATAACATTCAACTAACTTTATCTACAAAAGAAAAAAAATATAGTTATCAATTAATCAATTAAGAACCTTCATTTTACATTTTATATATTTACAACCTCTTGTATATTGACTTTTTCACCCGGTGTGAATCTTGGTAAATTATCATTACTTCCAAGTGTTTGCCATGTGAGTATGCTAGTATACCCAGGATCTAATAAACTATGACCATTTGCTGTGAATATTTCCATTCCTATTTCAAATTTAACTGTAGTACTTAAATATTTACAGTCATGAGCCAGCTACAAAATAAATTTTTTGAAATAAATGAAAATCGATATATTAAGATATATAATAAATAATATTTATACCGTAGCAATAAAGTGTCGAGTTATGTAATCATATAATCTCCATGTATCTCCATCGAGTTCATTTCGTGTAGCATGTTTCATTGGAGTAATAGGAGGATGATCTCCAACATTGCATCCTTTTTTTGGTCTATTAATACCAGTCGTTAATATCTTACGAACTTGATCTCCCCAATCAGGATTATTCTGTTGTTGTTTTAATGCTGCACTAAATATAAATAATTTTACATTTATTAATTTTATATACATTTGAAAAATTCCAAATTTTGAATATTTGTTAACTTACAGCAAATCGAAATTTTCTGGATATAATGTTGTTTCAGTTCGAGGATAACTTATATATCCTTGAGTATAAAGACGTTCTGCAATCTGCATGGCATGATGAGGACCCATTCCTAAACCTGAACTTGCTACTCTCATTAACTCTACCGTATTTAAAGCTATAGGTCGCGATTTTGTTTTTTCTGTACTTTCTACACTTATGATCCTATAATAATAATATAATAAGTTAATAATATAAATATAATTATATAATTATAGCATAATTAAAATAATAATTAATTTTAATAATTAAATATAAATATCTATAACTTACGTTGCTTGATCATATTCTTTTACATGACTTAGAAACATATTTGCTATCTCCTTGTCAAAAGATCGCACACGAGTCCAGTTCAAAATAATGTCTTGACCATCAGAAGATTTAACTGTAACCTTCAATGCATTCGAGTTTATCTTCTTCCTCTTACTGAATCATAGAGGGATTATATTCTGACATATAAGAGGTAGCTACATGTCAAGATAAAATATAATTATTCTAATAATAATAAATTATACCTGTAAAACCCAATAAGGATCTGGTTTGAATGTTTGAATTTCATCATGTCTTTGCACACAAAATCCTAATGTTGGTGTTTGACAAGGACCATAAGAAATTAGAGATACATCTAAATCTCCATATTTACCCTATAGAAGAAAAAAAGAAATTATTAAATTAATATAACAAACTAAATTAATATAATAAAATATAAAAAAATAGAACAAATTTTTTTCTAATGATTCTACCTGAAAAAATTTTGTTTGGAATCTTGTAAAAGCACAACCAATTCGTAAATCTAATTCTTGACGAGCATCAACACTCTTTGCTTCATTTTCATTTGGTTTTATTAAATTTACCAAAGCAGATTTTATATCCTTTTCTGTAATAGCAGAAAATCTTGCTCTCCAGATATCCTATAATAAATATAAAATTCATAAAATTCATAAAAATCATTAAACAAGATAATAAAGAAGAATTAAAATAAAATTATAAAAAATATTACATTTGGATTTAATCTTTTGTTCATTCCTTGTTGAACTGCATATATAACTTCAAAACAAATATTTTCACCTTCTTTGTCACAATCAAGCCATAGAACTAAATAATCACAATGTGCTCCTTCCTTAGCTAAAAAGTATGGTATTTTTAATCTAGGAACTGCTTCTTTTTTTTCAGTTGGACATGAAAATAACTCTGCCTTAAACATAACAAAAGTACATGGTAAATGCATGACAATAAACATATTAAAAATAATAAAATATAATAAAATATAATAAAATAAAATATAATATAAATTATAAGATCTTAACTTACAGGATCAACTTTGTCCCAATTATTATACTTTCCAATAAAATCTAATGTCATAACATGACCAAATACAGAAGTCATTTTAAAGTTTACAGTTTCTGATCTAAACTGTCCTATCCACTCATGCACTGAACATGATCCATTTAAACCTGAAATGTTTTTTTTATTAAAACATTATAAAACATAAATAATAATAAATTATTAAGTATATTTAATATTTTTCACTTGAAACTCATAAAATAATATGTGCATTAAATTTCACAAAAATCTAACCTACCTTTTCGTGAAGTACATCGACCGTTACTTAAAATATTGGCTAACGAAGCTGCCAATGATGGCTTTTCAGCCACCATCAAAGCTGTCTTCATTTTTATAAAAATGTTTATTTATATATTTTGTTTTTACAAGGAAATATTAACTTCTACTAAGAGAATCTATATATTTGAAGAAGGTAACTATCGGATATGCATGATATATCCTGCATTCCAAAATATTTAAAAAGCTATTAGATTATTTTATAATTTAATTCTTAATGTTTATTTTTATTATTATTATTTTCTAATTGTAAAAGAAATTTTGAATTTGGTTTTAAAACAAACATTACTTATAATAACAAACATATAAGCAAACTCACTTTTTTGATATAATGCAAATAAAGTTACCAACACAACAAGTTTAGATTTCTATCTGTAAATAATTTTATTCATTTCTGAAAAAATTTGATTTGATTGATTGTAAACATAGAAAATAACCAAAGAAAATAAACTATATTTTACAGATAAGTTTCTACAAAAAGTCTCCATTATTGACATACAATAATTTTTTATGAATAAAAAATTAAGAATAAATTGTTTTGAAAAATTCAATATATTACTAGAACTGTTATTAAAATAATAATTAAAAATTTTTTTGTTGTAATTGTCAAATTAATATTTTAAAATCAATTTTATAAATTGCATATATTATTTACATATATATAATCTTAATTTTGATATCGTTACAAGTTGCAATTGACAAGTATTTTGTAAATCTTGTATAGTATTATGATATTATGATAAGATTATCATATTTTTTATTTTAAGAAAGACTGAAATGTCAATCAAAATCAAAATTGTCTAATATATGATTATATATAATAGTATTAATCATTTTGGTATTCTGACTCATACAGATTGTCTGACAGATCGAATTCTCAAATATAAAACTAACCTAAAAAAAATAAATTTCAAATAGTCAAGATTTCTATAATTTTTTCATTTAAATATAGGTACATTCAAATAATTATTGGATACTGTTATTTATTCTAAATCTATTCGATAATTTAATAGATTTAGTTCTTAATCGTTTAAATAAAAACAATTATTTTTTATTATTTTAATCTTTCTGTTTTTAATTTTTTACATAAAAACGTTTTAAATTCTTTATCATTATTTTTAAATTTTTATATTGAATTTTTAACAATAATAATAATTGTATTTTTTAATAATAATAATAATCAATATATGTTTACATTAATTTTAATAGGTGATATTCTATTACAATCATGGAGTGGTTATTTGGGAAAAGAATAACTCCTGAGGAAATGCTTAGAAAAAATCAAAGAGCATTAAACAAAGCTATGCGAGATCTTGATAGAGAAAGAATGAGAATGGAACAACAAGAAAAGAAGATCATTGCAGATATAAAAAAACTTGCTAAAGATGGTCAAATGGTAACCTGATTTAATTCTAGATAATATGTTTTAATTTTAATAAAATTTTTTTATTCATCAATGATTTTATAGGATGCAGTGAAAATTATGGCAAAAGATCTTGTAAGAACTAGACGCTATGTGAAAAAATTCATGCTAATGAAAGCGAATATTCAAGCAGTATCTTTGAAAATTCAAACTTTACGTTCACAAAATACCATGGCACAAGCAATGAAAGGAGTCACAAGAGCAATGCAAAATATGAATAAGTTAAAATTTGATTTATTTCTTCAAAATTATGATCAAAAACAATTATTGTTTGCTGTAAACAAGATATCTCACGAAATATTACTACCTTGAATTATGTCATTTTATTATTATTATTTATTATTATTTTATTATTATTTACAGTGAGAAATATTGATGGACATTAAATAGTTTCAAGAGATATATATATATACTGATGTTATTTTTTGTAAGTAAATGCATTAAGGACATATAAAGGTCAATTTTTTAGATAGGACTATATCTTTTTATACAATCAATATAATTTTTAATTCTCTATAAAAAAAATATTAACTTATATATATCGAAAAATGATTAGTTTAGGTAATAGTTTATTATATTTTGATAATATAATAAATATTGTAAGAAATAAGAAAATTTCACTTGTTTACTATATATAATAATAATAATTGCTTCTCTTGAAATTGTTTAATGTCTATCAAAACATCTTATATATCACTATAAATAATAATAATAATATAATTCAAAATGGTAATATTTAGTAAGATATCCTGTATATAAATTATGTATTTTTATAGACAATTAAATCTTCCTCAAATACAAAAAATATTGCACGAATTTGAAAAACAATCAGAGATAATGGATATGAAAGAAGAAATTATGAATGATGCAATTGATGATGCAATGGAAGATGAAGGTGATGAAGAAGAAAGGTATTTGTATAATTATTAAAAATATTTGTAAATATTTATTTATTGAATATTTTAATTATATTTATATTTATTATATTTATATTTTAGTGATGCTATTGTGTCCCAAGTTTTGGACGAGTTAGGCCTTCAATTGACAGATCAATTATCTGGTTTACCACAAGCTTCTGGTTCACTAAGTGTAGCAAGTTCTAAGCAACCAGTTGCAGCTGCAACAGGAAATGATGAAGGTGGAAATATTGCAGATGCGGATGCAGATCTTCACGCTAGGCTTGAAAATTTACGACGTGAATAAGAAAGTGTTATGTAGCTGAAATGTATAAAAGATGTAAAAAAAAACATTGATTGTAAGCATAATTAATTTTATAATTTGCTTTATATTTTAGTTGAAAGCAAATACTTTTATTATAGCACTTGTTTTTTAATCACTTATTCTTTTAATCAATTAAGAATTCATGAATGAATGATAAACAAAAGCATCTATATTTAGATTATGTAACAATCTACATT